CATATGTTAGTGACAGAAATAAAAGGGTAGTTGGAGCATATCTGTTTGTCAAAGAAGTCGAATTGAAGTTATATATAGACTTATCCATATGAAACTGTTTTTATGTTGTTAATCTTTTTTTTTATTTGAGGGGGTGGGAAGTAAAATCTGTTAAGTGTGAAAATCTCACATTAAGTATAAAAGTAAGAAACTTGTGGGTTAAATACAAGGAATGCTACTCCACATATTGCCAATTGTTGAGCTCACATGCATAGTTTTTAATATGGTATCAAAACTCAGGTTTTGTACCGGGCATGTATTTAAAGGAGGTGTAACCACGTGAGAGGACCCGACATTCATAAGAGGCCTGCATGTGAGGAGGCGTCTTAAGTGAGAAAATACCCCATTGAGTATAAAATAAAAGTTAAATACAAAGAAGGCTACTCCACCTATTGCCAATTGAATTTAAGTTGGATACAAGCCTTGTATTGAGCCACATGCACAGTTTTCAATAAAATCTTGCAACCAATCAAATTTAAATGCTGAAAAACACGATGGTTCCAATCGATCTGTTTATTCAGTTTTTCTGTATCTCCACTGGAAAAAAGTGTAAAACCAGAAAAGCCGAGTAACATGAAAGATATTAAATATGGTTGATGACTACTGGTGGGAAAATACAGCATTAATTTACAAGATGCATATTCCATCAAGAAAAGAACTGATAACTTAAGTAGAAGATGTTGGCCCAAAAAACCTGAAATGTAAGAATTATATATTTGACCAAGAAAGGCAATTCGCAACAGAGATATTAAAGATATTCCTCCTCTTTGTAAATAAAAATTTGGTGTACAGCGAAATAAAATGTTGCCCCAGGACAAACAAAAATTGACTGGGTGATGAAGAAAAACAGACCTTTTTGAAAGTTGATACTCCGGAGGGGTGGTGGGATGGTGTGTGGTGTGGAATCTAAGGTCACCTTCCTTGAACATGTAATTCTTCAGGTTATTATATTCTAAAAGCATCCTGCCAACAGAAATTAAAACAAAAATTGGCCAGTTTCTTTTGTCTGCAAAGAGGATGAAACATACAGAAATGACTTTGAGATGTCATGGTTCAAAGCATTCCTCTAGATTTTCCATTCCCTTTTTCGTCTACGTCTGTACACAATCATCTGGGGCATTTTTATTTGCCTTTCTCTCCTCCACTTCTGTCCCAACTGATTTTCCAATACTTTCAGGAATAATATCCGGTTTCAACTTGAACGGCTTTCCAATTTCCACTGCTCTCTCTCCTCTGATCCTTCCAAGTTGGTGGTGACCTCCATTTCTTTCACCTGAGCTTCAGTTAATACCTTCAGAAGTTCTAATGGCGTAGCTGCAGGGTCAAGCTCCAAGCAACCCTTGGGAGCGTTAGGACCTTCTTGACCTGTGGGCAAATAAGAAGGGACTTGATGAGACAGCCGAAGCAACTGTTCTCTAGGAATGATCCTGATCATATTTGGCTCTGGGTGTCGCCGAAACACTGTTTTGAATCCAGCTACTTTTACAAGTGCAACAACAACAACAGCACCACTTTGCTCATTGTAATTTTCAAGTACCTCCACCATATCATATAACAACAACAACAACAACAGCACCACTTTGCTCATTGTAATTTTCAAGTACCTCCACCATATCATATTTGTGAATCACTTCATCAGGGGTAAGCTCGTTCCAATCAGGGGATTAGTTCCCATATAGAGCCCAAACCTCTCCCTTCCGAGGATATATATGAATAGCCCCCTTTCTGCCTTCTGACCATTTAACCTTGTGGCAGAAAGAATTAAGCAACTTGTTAATTAATTACAAACTTGCCAATCCAAAAATCGCCACTAGTTTTGTGGAACATCCACCTTTTCAAGTGGATGATTAAACCTAATAACACCTCCTCAGTGAGTGATAAATTTGTATAACTATTACCACTATTATCACTCTTTGTGGCCTATATATTAAAGTGTGGAGCAAAAGGAATAAAGAAAGATCAACCTTGTTACATTTTTTATCTATTTCTCTCAAATTCATTTTTCTTCTTTTTCTACTTGTTTGTTTTTTATTTTATTATGTGTTATCAACATGAATTGTTATTTAACATGAATTGTTATTTAAGATCTCATGTAAGATTAAGATTTTGAGTTTAGTTTTTGTTAAAATCAAAATTGATATGCATTTTTACCATATATATATAAACACACACCACTAAATTACTTTTGGGGAACAAGTCAAATATATAAAATAAAACCCAAATAAACTTATATGATTTAATTATATTAACTAACCTGTTTTTTATATATCTCCAGCTTATAATTACGTTGGTGTGATATTAATCTTTAATGGTGGCATGACAAGTTGCATGCCAATGTATAATAAGTCATATGACTCATATTTATTGTTAAACATACTATGATAAAAAAGAAAAAGAAAAAGAAAAAGAGTGTTTTGTGATTTAATTGGATTGTAAAACATAAATTATTAAATGATAAGAGGCTTCTAATAATAAATGAGTGTCAATGTATCTAATAGTTGGTGTTTATAATACAGATTGTAAAACATTGGATTCTATTTTATTAAAATACTAGAAAAATCTTTTACAGTCCATTGTAAAGAATAAAATATCAGCATTGGGTGCAAAAAGACTCAAATGCCATTGAGGAACGAGAGACGGATGTATATTCATTAATGACAATTTAGTCTTTTCATATCCAGAACTAATTTTTCTTTTTCTGGAAACGGGTACAAGTAGAACTACAATCTCCTAAGATATTTGGGGACTAAATTTCATTAGGAGGTTATAATTGATTTACTTAATTATGACAATGAATCATATATATAGTTGCTTACGCTATGTTATACCTTGTATAATAGTTTCATAACAGAATAATGAGTAAATGTGTAAAAAAGATGTTAATTTTACAATTTTTTCTATTTAAGGGTGTTAACTTTGTTAATTTTTAAATAAAAATGTCAATTTTCAATATTTTTTATTTAAGAATGTCAACTTTCAATTTTTTCTATTTAAAGATACTAACTTTCAACATTTTTGTTAAAAAATGCATTTGTCACATTAGTATCATTTTTCAATTAATTCTTAAATAGAAAAAGTTAAAAATTGATATTCTTAAATAAAAAAAAGTTGAAAGTTGACATTCTTAAATAAAAAATATTAAAAATTAACATCCTTATTTAAAAATTGACAAAATTAACATTCTTAAATAAAAAATAATTATAAAATTGACATCATTTTTTACACATTTACTCACAGAATAATAGAGCAAACTTGAGATTTGGCCAAAAAAAAAAAGAGGGAGCAAACTTGAGAATTCAATATATTTCTTAATTCTTTCTAATATGGATTTGGAACAACGAAATTCAATGCTTCACATCAGCAGCAACAAAATTCAATGCCGGATCAATGTACACTAGACAGCACAAAAAATAACCATGACATTTTAATAATTAAAATGAATTATCAAAATTCAAAGAAAATTAATTAAGACGCACCTGGGCCTTAAGCCACCCGTAAAGTGCACTCCTGCTCCCTGGGCAAGGATTCGATTCAGTCCTTTGCAAATTTATTAAAAAAAAAAAGGTCTTGATTTTTACTTTTTTTATTCTTTTATGATATAATAGCTGCAGTAACTTCCGTAGCAATATAGATTAATTTCCAATATAAGGCAACGTTTTGGCGTTCTTTTTTTTTATTATTATTATTATTATTATTATTTATGTTCCTTTCTTGGTCTTGTAATCCCTTGTCCCTACATCATCTCTTGCTATGAATAAATTTCAACAAACAAAAATGAATAGTAGAAGCAAGCAAATTCTCGGAGCTAAATACATATAACAAATTAAAGCTGCCACTCTCATTAACTAAGGAGAAGGTTTGATTACGTAGTTTTAAGCTGATGATATATGACACCCCATGTTTTACATTATAATCTAAACCAAAGATCTTTTATTCCAGAATCCCATAAGCATTACCACCATATATAACCTAAGAAGATTCAGAAGACTGCCATTTTTAGTACTTCACAGCAAGAAGATCAGAATGGTCTCATCTCACTAACTGAACTCTGTAGGAAAAGAGGAACAGGAAAATGGGTTAGAGGAGGAACATTTTAACAAGGAAAGCATAAATTTGAGATATTATTGTGGGCTAAATACTTGATGTGATGTTCTATTTTTGTGGCTTCTTCCACAACACCCCAATCTTCTTTAGCATGTTCCCATTTTTCTTCTTTAGCAGATCATCATCCATGTCTTCAGAGTAGGGTGAGCCAACTTTCCCTGTAACAGAATTATAATGGCTACCCAATGATCCAGTTCTCTCCATAAACTTCCCATTGTTACCTGCTGAAAGCATTGCAGTGGCTGCCTCTGCAGCCTTCCGCCACTGATCAGACTGTACCTTTAGCCTTCGGAGCTCTGCCTCCATGTCAGAATTAGCAATCTGTGCTGCATCAAGCTGCTCAGCCACATGTGCAGCCCTCCTGTTGTTCTTATCTGCTTCCTCCATTGCAACACCAAGCTTCATGAGAGCCTCCCTCTCTCTAGCTCTTGTCACCTCTAGCTCTACAACCACCTCATTGTTTGTTTTACCTTTGTCCAGGCCTCTTTTACTGATTTCCAACCTGAGTATATCATTCTCCTCAGCTATATTCTGCAGTTCTGTCTCTTTATCCATCATATTTGCCTTCAGATCAGCAACTGCTTCATTTAATTTCTTCAGCTCATTTTCTAGTTCAGTTTCTCGCTCACTTGAAAGGTTCTTTTCGAGCTTCATGTGAAGCCCCTCATTTTCTTCTACAATACCCTGTAATTCATTTTCCTTGTCCATCAGACTCACTTTCAACTCTTCAATATCCAATTTTGCTTTCTCAAGTTCTGCTAAAAGTACAGCCTCTCGCTGGCTGGATGTGCACCCTATCTGCTCAACTAGTGCATCAGTGCTTTGAAAGTGTTCTTCTTGGGCTTTAGTCTTGGTATTTTCAAGAGCAGATCTTAACAGTTCCACTTCAGACTTTAAGAAAGAAACTTCTGCTTCAAGCTGGCCTTGTTCCTCTGACTTCTGATGTTCTTCAGTTTCCTTCTCAACATTACCATCACGGTCAGATTCCAATGAGAGGTTGTTGCCAGCTTTTGCTAGGTCTTTCTTGAGTTTGCTGACAAGTTCTTCTAGTGAATTCACACGTTCCCTTGACTGATCTAACTCTGAAGCTACTGAGTTGTAAGCTTCAGTTGCTTTCATGCCTTCTGACCTGAGCGCCTCAACAGAAATTTTTGCAGTTTCTAGTTGTAGCAGAGTTTCACTAGCCAAATTTTGGGCATGAGCTTCAGATTCTTTGCTATCCCTTATCTGGGTTTTCATGTTTTCAACAAGAGAAAGAGTTTCCATCAAGTTCCCTTTCAAGCTCTGAAGCTCCACATGTGCTGATTCTGCTTGCTTGGTTTGTGCAGCTTCAGATATGGCCACCCTTTCAAGCTCAGCCTTAAGTTGCTGAATCTCATTCATGGCAAAGGCCAAAGCAGCTGAATCTCCAGAATGCTTTTTCTGGACAGCATCAAGCTCAAATTTCCATGCCTGATGGCCCTGATCCTCTTCTTGTGAGCTCTTTTGGAGTTTAACAACATGAGTTTCTTCAGAATTGGACAAGTCATGATTCTGCTTTTGAGAGTCTAAGGGCTTTGAAGACATTGCCAATAGTTGTTTCTGAGACTCCTCGGCTTCTAGCTGAGCTTGCTTCTTCCATGATTCAGATTCACTTAACTGATCCTTTGTTTTCTTCAGCTGCTCCTGAAGCTGAGAAATCTGGAGCTCCAATTCAGATATTCTGCTAGGTCGCTTCTTCTGAAACAAGAACAATGGTCAATGGTAGAAATTCTCATAGGACATCTTTGAAATTGACAAAAATAGAAACAATCTCCCTCTGTAGGCTAAAACTTCAGAATCAAGATAATTGAAATCAAATCCAACATAGTTCATCAAATTACAGGTATAAAATATGGAAGAAAGGCAAAAGGTTGCAGGGGCTTTAAAATAATATATTAATCCACAAACAGATTGGCAAGAATCACAAAATAAGCGAATATAACAAATGGAGACTAACAATGTTCTCCAATTTTCTTTAACATTCTCTATTTTATGTAACTCTAGAAGTCTGGTAGTCTCAGTACTCGGTTCTATAGAATACCTCAGTAGTAACTGGACTCCTTGGTGATCGTCGATCAACAACTTTAGGGCTTCTCTCCTTTGGAGTTCTACTAGCCTGGTTTGGGGAAGATGAAGATTCAGTCCCTACTGCAGTCGTCTTGTGTTGGCGAACAGCTCGTGGAGAGACCCTTTGTGGAACTTCCAAAGATCGGTTTCTGTTGTTAAAATTGGTTTAGTGTCATCAAGAACAACACGTAGAGTTTATAAAAGATGCAAGGCTTGAAATATAAATTTCACATTCTTTTATTCCTGGATAGTGAACTGGGAGGTAATTCATCTTGTGCTACTGACAAAAGCTCCTTCTACACAATATATGAGTTACCATCTTATGCCTGCTTAGGAGAATTGCACCAGAATTAGTTTCATTCTCTGAGAAGTAAATCCCAATACCCTTCTAGTCTTAGCTTCCTGCTTAAGGCCAATGGTCCATTGTGGCACAGTTGAGTTCTAAAATCTAAATTGCATTAAATTAAAGGCATTTGACTTGCTTGCCGAAGGCCAATTCCACATCTTAACTATATATTTGTTTTTGGCACAAAATCTCAGTGGAGTTTATCCATTCCATATGTATGTGATGGAAAATTAATCTTTTTTTTTTTTTTTTTGAAAAAATGCAGTGCTCAACCCTTCACTAACTGAAGCTGCTGGTTTGGTTAAGGGGCCAGCTATCCTATAGTTAGGAGAGAAGACAAGACAAAACTACTACCTTACAAATTTGTTGGATGAAACAAATTTCAGCTCTAGATTCTTACCAGAGAACATTGCCCTAAATTGTAGCTTCAGAGCTAAACACATGAAAACTGAAAAGAGAAAAAGACAAACTCGATAAAAGAAGAGACAAGCTTCCAGCTAACAGGTTAACACCTTCATTGTTCCTTATGGAATTTGGACTATATTGGACAATTTGTAAATGACAACAAAAGTTAAGAAGAACCATACACTGCTTTACACTTATTCAGTGAACATATCAATAAGCCTCTAAAAACAGAGAATATAAAGAAATAGTAAAAGCAAGAGAAATGACCTTGGTTTTGGAGTCTGCATAATTAATGGATCCTCAAGGAGAAAAATGAAGTTTCTTATCCTTCCCTCCTACAATGCTTCCTGAACCACAAGGCCTGTAGCAGATCGGAAAAATATCACAAGCTGAAAAACAGGAGAATCCAATGTAGATGAACACAAAGAAATTAGCTCATATGAAGAGCAGCTGCTCCTTATAATCACATATGGTGCCATAAAGGCAAAAGCAGACTAACCAAAAGAAATTAGTAAAAGGGTATCTTCAAGAAAAAGCAACAGTACAAGCTATCAACTTGTTTAAGCAGGCAGTAACAACAATCCTCTTCATCACCCCTTAAATGCTACCATAATCCTGCCTTCATGGCCCATTATTGCGGTCACAATGGACCGTACAGCTACAGTTGAAGACAGACGAATTTACAGAAATACCCCCACTATTTTGACTGATCTGAAGTCAGATTCTTACCCTATCAAGAGGAATTATTGTAATGTAGCAGGTGAGTTTCCTCCTCCATGGTTGCCGTGAAAGGAGGAAATTAAAGATAAATAGGAAAGAAAAAAAAGTACAATGTGGGGTATAGAGAGTTTGAAGAACACAACAGGAATAAGTACCATTTTTAATCTTGCTATCATGACTAGAAAAAACAACTGGAAAATATTTTCTGGGAAAGGTTTTTAACATGAAAAGGGGAAGGTCTGAAGCTTTAAAACCACTTAACCTTCAAAAAGCTCCACTGCAGATTCTTCAATGGTTGAGATTTAAGGAAAACAATAAATAAATAAATAAATAACCTTGAATTCTTTGAGATCGATTGCAGCTCAAAAAAACAGAGATTAGACCACTCAAATGGAAAGGAGCATAATATACAAGAAACCTTATTTCCTTTGTAAAGCCTGCAACTACAGGCACCTGAACTTGAACAGGTAGATGTAGTATTACCACTAAGAAAGGAACTTTTCGGACTCCATAGTTCAAAGAAGTAAGAAAAAGGAGTTTAAAGGAAACATCATTGCAATGAAAAAGCAAAAAACACAGCACAAATGCCTTAATTGAAAGAAGGAAAAATAAGAAAATTGAAAAATAGAAGCAACAGACAAAAAGATCCTTCTTTTTCTAGCTGCATTTTCTCTGGAAACAAAAAGGTGAAGTGGGTGAGAAAGAAATAAAGAAAAATTCTGTAAAAACTACTTACCAAGTTCACAACTTTCAGCAAAGGGAAAATGTAATGGATATTGAGCCCCTCAGAAAACAAGCATTTGTAATGTAAGAAGCAATTAAACAGCCATGGGTAACATGGGTTGGAAATGGAAGCTGAAAATGCTTCTGCTTTTGGGGTTTCTTCTACTTCTTTGCCTCTGCTCCGAACAGGTACCAGGACTCAGTCAGTTTTGTTGGGTAGCAGGAAACTCTCTGGGAACAGGGAATGAATTATCCCATCTATACAAATCACAAAAAACAGAGAGGGACAATGTTACTTGCGTTGTCGTTTTGCCATTGTCAAATAGGTTTTGGACTGGATTCTACGCTCCGTTTTGGTGTCTACCACCCTACACCTATAAAGTCCATTCTACATTTCTACTGAATTTGAGAGTATTTACTATTAGTTCTTTGCTTCAAATTCATGATTTGATTTCTTTCAATTTTAGGTTGATCCTTCTCTTAAATGCACATTGTTATATGATTGGTTAATTTATTATAAGAGCATCAAACTAACTTCACACACAAATTAATTGGAATTAATTTGGAAGGAGCTTTCTTCACCCAATTTAAGTAAATCCACCACGTTGCTATTGCTTGAGTTTTAGGCTTTTAGCCCCCCCCTTTTTTAAGGATTTCTTTAATGAGCAATGCTAGGGGCACTCGCCTCCTGCACTCTCCGGCCAACACTTTCTCTTTTATTGGGCCACGTTATTTTGGTTTCTGAGAGGTTGCTCTGAAAGCTTTTAAAAAGCTTACGTGGCCCAATGAAAGGGGAAGTGTTGGCCGGAGAGTGCAAAAAGCGAGTGCCCGTAGCAGTGCTCTTCTTTAATTTATATTTTTAGGACATGTGTTAAAGTACTTTTTATGATAAATTTATATAAAGTAATATAAAAATTAATATTAATTTTAGTATTATTGTCAAATAAATAAATTTAATTAGATAATTAATAAATTAAAAATTAATTTTTATTCTTTCAACACTAATTTATAACAGAATAATATATTTATTATGTTCTTAATTTATACCTTTATGGTATATATTAAAAAAACTCCTTAAAAAAGAACTATGGATTTCTTTAAAAGATAAAATCTAATTGTAGGTATTAAAAAAACATTATAAAAGCTACAAAATAGTTAATCATTGATAAAGGGATGACCCACAAAATTAAGGGGTCTGCCCCCCTTCATCAATAGTTATTATTTAAGTGAATTGCAGTTCATATAGAACAGATTGCAATTTACCTTTTTGTTAAGCAAAAAATGTTTTTATGAAAATCTTTGCTTCTAACTTGAGTTCCTTTTTTATTATTATTGTTATTATTTGTATTATCAAGTGTCATCAGCATAATTTTTGCATATTTTAAATTTAATTTATTTTTATGTGATTTTATGTGATTTTAAGAATATACTAGCATCATTTTATCAACTTACTGCATTTAAATAAATTAATTTGGGTGCTAAAATTAATCACAAACCTTTTGTTACAATTGTAAGGGATTAATTAAGATAAAGCAGGAGTAGGCCCAATCTATGGACCACTTTGGAAATAATATTCATTTTCATGTAGTTGCCTTGGCCCATACCTAATGTTGCAGAATGTCTAATTTGATCACATAACCTATCGTTTTTAGTTTTAAATTCAAACTTAGAAAAAACTTTTTTATACCCACCTAATTATTGAACTATAGGAGGAGATGAACCTACTTCCTCTCAAATCTCTCCCAATTGTAAGAACTTGTTACTTTGTAATTTAAACTGTATCATACTATAAAATAAATTTTTTCGTTACTCTAATATCTTTCAACTTCAGAGTTTTAGACCACTCTGTCGCTGCCAAAGTTTCATGACTGTCATTTCATTTTTTTAACAAGCCTTTAATTTTTGAATGGTCTAGAAAGTTTTTAATTAACAAGAAGAGATTAATTAAAATATATGATACTTTTTCTAATTTTGAAACAGGATTTTAACAGTGTCACAATCCAATCTAACACATCGTGGGTTCAAATGTGGAAGCCCGAGGCGAGGCCTACAAAATACAAATGGGCCTTAATGAAGACTCCCTGGGTTGGTTAGCCCGTTTATGAAGAGGACCTCGATC